GTTAGACAAACAAAAGAAAAGTTTTAGAACATTAAGTTGATTTTTTTTTCCATTATTTGATAAAAGGCCAGTAAGTGCTTATCCAAAAAAATGTTACAAAACTGAAACACATTAGTAAATAAACTCAGCAAGCTAAAAACTGTTGGTTAAAAAAGAGTATTTGATGACATTTCAACAAAAAATTTTTGAAAAGCTGAAACTGGATAAAATGAACAATTTCCAGAAAATCGTTTCTCCAAATAATTTGTAGAAAGGAAAAGATAAATTGAATAAAAGTGCTTGAGTTACAGCGTTATCAGTATGCACCATCCAGGTCGACTTCTGCTCTATTGCGAACTGGATGTTTGGTAACTGCTATACTAACCCTTCTTGTTATTTTCTCAGAAATCTAAATCTCGCAAAACCTCTCCATCTTGGCTGTTTTATTGAGTTTACTGGCTTTAAACTCGTTTTCAATTTCAGGCCTAAACTGCTCATATTAGTAGTTCCCTACAAACTGCTCATTAAATCTACATCAGCAATCTCAGATTAGATAGAAACATGAAAAACTGTGCTTAGCCAATACTATCTGTTAACCTCGGTGTCTAAACTAAACCAGAAGAAAAATTTTTGAACCATTTCTAAAAATTCTCACTAATATGAACATATAAAGATTTTAAAGCATTCGAAAAAATTCAATTAATGGATCAAAAAGTTTTAAAAATTTCAATTCACTTCTTTTTTTGCACCGTAAAACTCTTGAATTTAACCTTGCTAAATGAAAAAACTTTATTTACATATTTCCCGTTAGCATATCTGTTACATAAGTCATAGATCTCGTCAAAGTTAGCATACTGTCACGAAACAATGAGGCTAGGCTAATTCAAGTTTATCTTTTCGGTAAGCCATCCCAATAATTTAGGAATATAAATGTCAAAAGGAAGATTGTGACCAGAATATTATGATCTGCATAACACTGAGATATTTTTTGGAATTCTTCATTTTCAAATAGAGTTTCTAAAGCCAAAAATTAACATGGTCGATAAGTGGCTAACACAGCTTTCAGTCGAGTCATTTGAGAAGAGAGAGCAGTAAAAATAGTTGTAACTGTATCTTCTTCAACCTTAGTTATCAAAGAAGTGAAAAAAAATTTAAAATTTCCAGTTAGTTCAGATGACTTTCAGAATTTGAAAATGAAGAACTTCAAACTTGAAGTTTCAAAAGAATTATGATAAAAGTTCAGCATACCTCTACTCACATCTGTAACATTTTAAGAACTGGTGTCAAGTAAGTTTTGTATTCTAGAGATGTATTTGAAAATGTCGTAATAATTAAAAACATAGATTCGAAATGACAAAAGAAATAAAAAAAAGAGTATACGAAAAAGTATGAAATTTTTAACAAATTAGCAATAACTCAGACTATTTCTGAACTAGAGCAACCCCAAGTGGCAAGAAAAAAATAGACTTTTCAAGTGTTGAGCGCTGATTATTAACTGAGGTTGCTATAATAAAGTTTTTGACTAAACACATAATTCCTCCAAAACGTAGGCAAAAATGCATCTGCGCCTCTACTTAATTATAGACTAAATTATCGACATAATATTTCACTAATCAATATTGTAATCAGAAAGATTATAGTGTTTTCCAAAAGTGTTTGATAAACTGAGAATTGCACCATCTATTAGGAAATTTATTTAAACAAAAAACTCGCTTACAAAATGTGAGTGGAAGATTTCATACCAGCGGCTAATATTATAAATTCGATTTCAACTTTCGCAGAAGTTCCAATATATGGCTCAAAAGAACCTTCTCTGTCATGTGAAAATTTTTCTGCTTTTTAAGTATAGTCCTGGTAGATTTGTAGAAGACAGGTCTCGAGAGAGCTATAGTTGACGATGGTAACTAATAAAAGTAGCACTTCAAGGAGAAGAGCAGCAGAGTTGAGAAGCCCCCACCTTACCAAGGTATCTAGTTTTTCCATGTACGGTCAGTAATTTTGCTTATACAAGCATTTCTGCTACAATGCTTATCATTTTTGAAAATTCTGTAATGCCAATTTATTTTCCAAAGAACTTATTCTGGTAAATTCATCATGAACAACGCTTAAGCAGTTTGATAAGGAAGACGCTTCAACGTTTTACCGCTTAATGGCTTTGACTGATTAATATTGAAAAGAGAACTATTTACTGTTGGTTCTTCTCCTCTTCGATTTATTACGTAACTTTCAAGTGCTGTCGTAAATACAGTCCTTGGTAGTCATTACTTTCTTTCCCCCGTTAGCTGGGCATTATTTAAGGACCAGGCTGATTAAGAAATTATCGGTCAACAATTGTTAGACCGTTTGGTTGCAAATTAATGGTAAAGTCAGAGGCAAAATGACGAATTGAGCAATTATAATTTGGTACTCGCCATACGAAATAGACTATTGAACATAACTGGTGACTTCCAAGTTACAAAGGTAAAAAAAGTAAATTTTTTAAACCCTAGATAATGCGAAGAAATTTTCGACAAATCTTTCAATAAGTTACTCCTCTCAGCTCAATGGCTTAATTTTAGAAATTTAAAAACTGACCTCCAAAAATAAGTCAAAAAAATACCCAAGAAATCAGTTTTACATGAATACCTTGAAGAGAGATTTACAAAGTTCTATAGATGAATTATGCAAACAAGAAATGGCACTCAAATTTACTTGCTTTTTGTTCAGTTTGTCAACAATTTAACGGCAAAGAATTATTCTCTGACTTAAAATTGACAGCATAATACGAAGAATTTTTTGTTCCAGAGGGTAACGAATGCAAAAAAGTTTTGTGTACTTAAGCACGGCGTTGAATACTTCTTGAAGATTTCAGTTAATCTGTACTCTCCTGACTTCATTGCGTGCGCATGATGGCTAACAGTGATAGCAAAGAGGCCCAATCCAGAATCACCTGATTATTTCGCAAAAAATGAAACGCTTACGTCATACAGTCGCGACAGCAATAAGCAGAGAAAGCGTCATTAGTTCCAGCTACAAATCTGCCTGCTTCAACACAAGAATCCAGTAGAGTAGCCAAAATCCAGTATTCTTACCCGAAATCTTCAAACAAAGAAACCGGCCCCATATCGCGACGACGCAAAGGCTCAGAAATAACGAAATAACAGCTATCTAATGTCAGTAGTTTCGCACACGTGTCAATATCTAGCTCTCGTCGAAAATTAATTGCAGGTTCCTCAAATCACTATGAAAAAAATTTTAAACGTTGACACTAAAAAACAACAATGCTTCGATTTTCAGCACAGTTTTCAGATTTAAAGTTCCCAGTACTAATTATGGTGAAACTGGAAGTCGATGGGCAGCTCCAATGAAGAAAGGCAAGAAAGGCAGACTGTTGCACTACAGTATGCAGGAGAAAAGGAGAAAACAAGAAAGACAAACAAACAAAGATTACATCATCACCTTCAAGTACCGATATATGCTCCCTGGTTCTTACGGACGTTTTGAACTTCCTCCTCCTGTTTTAAAAACTCTGGTATTTGCAGAATTCTCAATAACCAATCACTTCCCCGCATCAGGATATAATCTTGCAGAAGCTTCAACCCAGCAAATCTATTAGAAGACTTCCGTTTAATTTTTGCCAAATTACCCCACTCACTTCATTACTGATGTTCATACACACTTATTTGCAGTCCATGATTGAATCAACAAACTTTCCAAAAGCTTTACGGCCCGGCAACAGATTTTCAACTAAGAAAATCAAAAAAATAGTTCATTTAGATTTCCCTACCTCACTCAAAAAAAATTGCAATTTCAAATTAGCAAGCTTCAGCACTTCCTACATTAGTTTTAAAAAGTCCACATAGAACCCACTACTGCCACTACTGCACCTCCTAAAGTCAGGCAGGCTATCAGGACCCTCAGTATCTCAAAAATCAGATGAAACAAACTGCAGACACTTTGCACACAAAAAATGGCACACTACTTCCACTGACCATTATAAATTAAAAGCCAGCCTTAGTTCCCGATCACTCAAACAACCAAGACTTAAAAGTCTTACAGCACCTAAGCAGGAAGCAAAACCTACGAAAAAAAAATTTAAAAGAAAAAAATTAGATGTTAAAAAAAAAACCTTCCTCAACCTTTGCCTCCAAAACCACCATCTTCTCTTGACCAACATCCACCTAACCTACCTTTGGAAGGACCAAACTGTCTTTCGGTCCTTCTCTCTTATCTTTCCAACCTTTTCTCAAAATCCACAAATCAAAACGTGTTCGGCAACTCCTCACCTGAATCCCACACCCTATTGTAAAGAAGCTCACCATAAACCTTCAATTGCCTTCCGTAAAATAACCCTGCATTTTTCAACACAAAAACACCCAATATTATACAAATATCTTCAAAAAAAAATAATAAGCATGAAAATGAGGATGGAATACTAAAATACTCTTCCCGTAAAAAACCTCAACAAAACTTAAAAACCACACTAGCAAGCCAGAAATGCCAGTAAAATTAAAAAATGTTGCATTTAAAAAATACGGCTGTTCTACGCTAAGTTTGTCAAATTTACTGTGTGAACACTAGCTTCAAATGTAACCCATTTGTATTCTGTAAATATTAAGGCCTTAATTATTATGCATTGTCATACAAAATAATATTAAAGCATAGACATTACACCAAAAGAACACAAATACCTGCATAGAGGGTTTAAAGCATTGGTGGTTTTTACATATATAATTGGCTGGTAGACTCGGTTAACAGCGATGTGAACGAAATAAGCAAAAAAGTAGATGTTTTCAAAATCTGGGTATTCGAATGTAATAAGGAGAAGTTTCAAAAGTTGCAAATCGAGTTAAACAATTGTTAGAAGCTAATATATTTCACTTCTCTTCATTTTAAAGGTACATTCTCGGTCAAGAAAACTGCAGATACACAACAGTTAGTACTTTTTAAAAATAAGTATTTCATAGAAAGCAGTTGTTGAGAAAGGGTAAGCAAATTCACTGGATGCTTGTGGATGATTAAGGACAGTTCAAAACTCATGCTTAACTTTGCGACTCTTGTCGAACTTCAATCTTTTCCACTGTCATGTCAGGATTCATATCCGTAGCCTCAAGAATGGCTTGACAAAGCTCCTAAAACCAGAGATCCGTAAACTAGAGAGCCAAATCTCAAAAAATAATTCATAAAATATATATTTAAAAGAAATACGGCGTCGTGATCAATGTCGCCCTTCGAATGAATTGTCACCCGGTGCTCAACGTGTGTCTCAATAATACCATTTTTCTCTGTTTTATACTAAATAAAATTAAAATGAAAGTTGAACAAAGAGGAATAACAGGTGGTCATGGAAAGCATATCTGGAAACATTATTTTCAAAAATATGCTGCACTAAAATCATAACACAATTAAAAATGAAACTCTCTGTTACCGTAATGGTCTCAAATGTGCGATTGCCAGAAGTTATTGTTCTACTGGACACCAATTCGCCGGGTAAATCCGACATTTTGTAGCTATCATCTATTATTGGGTCGGTAGACTCATATGAAACAACATGGCTCCGAGTTTCAATAATTGGTGCTGTCCCATTCACAACCGCTGCCTCACCAAGAGGTGTTATTAGCTGTTGCGAAGCTTCAACTGTTTGAATGCCCTTGAATTTCATTTTGTAGTTGGAAGTATTACATAAACAAAAAGTTACTTTCTTTGCAGTAAAGACAAGTTTCCAAG